GTTTGAGGGAGGTAGCTAGCAGGATATAAGACGCTTAGGGGCAAAGGATCTGAGTAAGGAGACTTTCAGCATTCGGGGGTTAAAGAATATTTAAAGGTCGAATTTAAAACTTTGTCCGGTGACATTATGTAGCATTACTTCTACCCTTCACAGCACCATCATTGGACTGATTGTTGCTAGTCACGATTTCCACTGTATGAATAAAAGATTTGCCTGACGCTGTGAAGGTGCATCTAATAATGTCTCTAATATACCACCAGAAGAAAAGTATAAGTCGGTTCTACCAAATATTTTAGCAGGTGAGTTACAAAAATATCAAAATCCGCTTTCACGAGTAACCGTTGAAATGCAAATCCCCAATTTACGTCGAGGCGGCATTCAAAAAATTAGCACTTCCAGTTACGGGAAGTTTGAGAGGCGCGAACCTAGTATATTGTATCATTAGTTATTTAATGTAGCACCTGCATTTTTATTGTTGAAGTTTTTTAAAGACGTCTACCAACCGTTCTATGACATAAGTGTGATGCTGATTCTTTTTTTCCTATTTTTGATTAATCTTCGATCAGTTCTTACAAGACTGCGATGTGAAAGAGTCATTATCATCCTCGTCCATCGTCTTCGTTATCCAAGGTTTCTTCACTTTAGTTTTTTGAAAGACTCAGTGATGGAAAGACCGTACCTAAACCTACCTAATAGACGTCTATAACAGTTTTTTATGTTTTCAATTTCTAATCAGCTCAAAAAATGCTTTAAGAAAATCGAAGCAAGATTTAAAGGAAGGTAAGACTGCAAAATCTTACTTCCTGATTGATGCTAAGTTAGTGTTCAATTGAACGATATTCACAGAACTGCTACCATAAAATATTACGAGGTAAAAAGAGACTCATCTTTAGCTGACCCGCTTTACATAGCACTGAATTTTCACTTTGAAAGAAAGTTTCATCTTTTGCTCTAACAACTTAACTGTAACAGTCGCTTCATCTATGTAAAAATCGTTGCCAGTTCTGCTGCCCGGAAGTGCCATGCGGAGAACTGGAATACGTTACGACAGCTGTGCAAGGAGGGTTGCAGTTTAACCGGTAATTTATGAGAGGATTAAATTTTTTTTGCTAATTTTTGTAAACATTTTTGTTTTCTACGTTCCTAATTCAAATCGCACGTGCTCCCTCTGACTGAATTCCCTAGTGCTTCCACAAAGGGCAGTAGAATGGATTAAGAAATATCTGTTTCTTAACAAGACAGTGGTTTCAAATCTCAGTTGAAGCAACTTGGTAAGGTTCTTCCGTGAAACAACTACAGATAAGAAACTCGGGAGGAGGTGACAACGTGCGGATCTACTTTCAAATAACTATAGTGTCGCCATTCTAACTTCTTACAAAATTGCTGTGTCGACTTTTTTGAAATTCCAAAGTAGTAGCGTCAGTGAAAAAGATATATCCTGGAAAGATAAATATATCTTTGCTTTAACGTTATTATCTTTTGGAAATCTGAAGCTCCGTCTGCCCTTTTTTTGTCAAAATTTTATTACTTGCGGATCGGTTTTTCCTGTTTTCATCTTAGTTTGCTTCTTCTTTGCTTCTCAAAACTTTAATTTTGGGACTTTTTTATTCTTGTGAATGGTTACTGTTGATTCCACAAGAAAAACAGGGTGATACATTGTACAACGAATCTAAATCCTTTTCATAAATCATTATTTCTCTGATTTAATTTCCGAATAATTTCATTTTTTATCTGTAGCTTTTTCTCGTTTTTTAAAGCTTTTGACATTGCCATACTTAGCAAATGAATAGGTTTACGCAGTGTGTTTAGCTAGTGGAAAGCAACAATTTCTGCTGTTACTGCTCCCAATCTCAAAAAGAACAAATTGTTTTACATCCATGAAAAATGAAAGCTGTGTTTGAAACGTGGTTTGCGGAATAGCTCCGCCGATGAAAGATTTGGCTTCTTCTAACTGATACATATAAATCTAAACGTAAAAGAGATCGCAACCAGTAATGTTCTCAGCGACATGCTGTAGGTTATTTAGTCAACCTTCTTAATTTGAGTGGTGCAAAGTTGTGGTCTTCGGCACAACGTTAAATTTAAATTGTTGCTGGGTAAATACTGAAGAGGCAAGGATATTCGAAGAAAATCTTGAGTGGGTGGTAGGAGCTAAGTGCCGGATGTTTATATGCAGTGCGCCCTCAGTTAGTTATTTGTAGTGCTTAGGAAGTTATCAAACGAGTTACCTTCTAGTTCGTGTAGCTGACAGAGAATAGCTACCGAGTGATTACCAGAAAAGTCAAGTTGACTCCGCTAAATTTCTTCCTTAAATCTTTCAAGGTAGTCGGTCAAAAAACGGAATCTCACAGTCCTGGCTATTCAAAGCATATGAAAGTGGCAAAAAACACCAAAAAAAGAAAAGAGGAAAAAATGCAGTCAATAAAACGTATAGAAATTTGTAATACCGATACTTCCTAAACTACAAAAGTTTAAGCAAAAAACTGCGAAATTATTGCTACAATACTTGTAATTAGCAGATCAATCAATCAAGAGAAGACATTTTTCCAAAAAGTACTCATATTTCGTCATAACTTCACAGTTTATTTAGCTACACTTTCAAAAGTGAATGCACACTTCCTGAGACATAAGCTTGCCAACGGATATAAACATGTATGTGGGACCGCTACATGCGGTTTTACAAACTTTTCCACTTGAAACCTCAAAAACTTTTTAAATTCTGCCGTTTATAAGTCGATTCTGGACATGCACATGGCTGTGAGGAAGAAAATTAGGAAAATTTGATTACCCGTCGAGTTACGCCTTCTAAAAAGTGTGCAGAATTTGCTCACTGTAAATCATTCTATCTTTAATGAAATACAACGATTTTTGGTTCATAAGACTGCCAGTTTCTTTTGAGCCGAAATATATGTTAAATTGTAAAATTCTGCTCAGTAATTGGACAGACACAACAAAAAAATAAAATAAAAAATATTTTTAGAAAATGTGTTTAGTATATTCATTGTGTAGGAATCTTTTTTGTTCTACAAAACGCCGTAATTTGGAGATATCGTACTGAATGAATTCAGAATTAAGGGTCGGGAAGGAACTTAAGCTGAAAATAGGTCGCTGTGATTACAGTAATTTCACGCCTTTTATAATGAGGCAGTTGTCTTCAGTCCTTTCTGAATACCCAGCAAAGCGATTCTCCAAATCAGCAAGGTCGTAAAAATTTTGCGAAGAACCTATACCTTACGCTGGAATGGCTAAGGCAGCACGTTTTTGGACTCCCTTGTGATGCCAAAATATGCACTAGTTGCATAATTTTTGCAAGGAGAAGACGAGAAATGGAAGAAATTGCCTGCAGCAGCAATGTTTCTTCGATATGGCCAACATTCGAATAGGTTAGTTTTAAATTTATATGTACAATTTTTACTGCTATTGTTATTTACGACAATTCCGTATTGTTTAGTTCCCAGTTCGATCCTAATACTGATAATCGCCCTGAACAAAAGGGTTATAGTGATTGGTAAAGTTACGGTTGAAAAGAGATGCCTAAGTAGCAGAGTTTCAGAAAGAAATTTGCAAGATTGGGAATTACAGTGAAGTCGGAAGCATTCCCTCTTTGCAGAAAAAAGTTCCAGGGTGAAAAGGAGAACTGGCTTTATCAGCTAAAGGAGGAATACGTCGCGATTACCGTTCTGAATTTACTTTCAAAAAGTTGATTCTCACACAGGTTTTAGAAGTTTCCGAGCACTTTGCGTATTACTGACACACCCTCGGCAATCAGTCGAGTAGAAAGGAATAACAGGTTTTTAACCCTGAACTGGGAGAGTTTTGTGTAAAGTAGTTATGAAGAAATCCCACCAATTAACTACTCCGTCAATATCAGAATGTTGGCGACAGGTGAAAAGGATTACGTTATTTTTAAAAAAGTGAAAAAAAATGCAGGTTCAAAAGCGTCTTATCATTTGTAATTTAAAAAGGTCTACTGCGCGTTTAACGGGACTGAAACAGTTCAAAAACTGGGTTCTTGAAATTTGCTTTACCAGAACCTGAGGAATATGTCCTTGTTAGTGCTGTTGGAACTTCCTTACTTTTCTGTGCTCTACCCACTCAACAAGATTTCAAAC